TTTCAGTTATTTCAGCTTGCTTTCACTGCCAAACCTATTAAACCCCAAAACACATCTACATCTGTGTAATCGACTTTATTCCACATTATTTCAAAGTAGTAGTACTGCATATACTCGAGAATAGATTATTCATTCATGGCTTCCTCTCTATCCGTCCAAATCCTGCACACTCATCATTTCGATAACAGCGTTGATGCTCGAGGCTACAAAACAACTGAGCCGTTTAATAGTGTCTTGTGGGCATCTGAAGCCCGTTGTGCAGCTCACAGAGAGGCAACCATCCCTGTGATCTGCCCCCGGACACCAGCGCCAGGGCACAGACTATTCACAGTATTCAGAAGAAACACAAAACAAAGCACAAATGGATGGGCCTTTGGTTATTAGGGCTGAGGAAATATTAGAGAACTGTTCTCACTGACAATGGTTTAAGTAAGAGAGAGGATTTAGATAACTCCCACTTAGCCATTCAAAGGATACTCATCTGGTTTTATAGGCCAGCTCAAGGCGGGTTACATGGTTTATGCTTTTTATACAAAGGACAGTTTTAATAAAAATAACCTTTGTTCAGACCATGAATATGAAAAAAATGTGTGTTGAGGTGGTGCAGTAGCTCACCTGGTGCACATGACGCAAGTGTCCTAGATGTTGTAAGTAATCCAACACTTAGCCTCCTTATTTACTCGCTATGCTCTGCCTCAGTCTATAATGTAAAACAAAAGACTTCAAGGGACTATATTATTCTATTTTCTGATCTATGTTGTAATGCTTCCTCATCACAAACATACCTGATGTTGACTTTTGTTTTATTCACACGTTTAACACACAGATTCTGCATAGTTTTTCTCTCGAGAAGAAAATACTCTGTTCCACCTTGTGATGTCATGTGGTAATAAAGAAAGTGCTCATCTGTGTTTTTAAACTTCATACACCTTCGCTAGAATCATTTTGATAATTTCAGCCCTGGAATTGCCAATCTCTACTAAACAAAAGGTAAAAAGTAGCTGTTAACTTGAAAACTACAGCTTCACATCACATCACAAGGTGTAACAAAGCATTTTGAGCTTTTGAGTAATAATAAAGGGTTACTCAAACACGTGTGAATGAAACAAATCAAAAACATACCCGGAGTTGTGTTAAGGCAACAACACTCTAACATGGCTTAAAGCTCACAAGAGTCAATTTTGCGTAATACAGGACCTTTAAAATATGACAAAATTGTGGTTTAGTTTGTATGAATAGACCCATAAAAAGGTGAGTGTCTTTCTTAGCAAAATCTAAGCAATAGTAACAGAAAATCTATAATGAGAGTTTTGTGTATTTGTTAATAACAGCAAAGCCACCATATGCTACAAATGCATAGTGAAAATGTATTGACCCAGACTGACACCAAAGCTAATAAATAATAAATAATAAATAACAATAACCATCAGCTTTACTGAGCTTGTTTTTGCAAATATGTCTTGCCCCACTAATGAAACATCCAGTCAAAACATTTCAAATAGCACAAGAAAGCACAAAACCATTTCAAGCATGCCAACAAAATGAATATTTGAAAGCCTGTGTATATTCTTAGCTTTACTTTACTGCACCAGCACATCACCTATATCTATCTTTTTATCTATCTATCTACTTTAAGTGCTTTTTAACAAACTCTGCTCATCAAAAACTTTACTGATAGCCTATTCAGTGGTTTTCAATATTAATTTCCTGAATTTAAAGCATCCACATTATGCTATTTTCTGATCTATGTTATAACATTGTTTTCCCATCACAAACATGCCTGTGTTGTGTTTTGTTTAACACACAAAATCTGCATGTTTAGACTGAGTTATTCTCTGAAACGGAAAACAGTTTTTAAACTCCATACACATTCACTAGATTCATTTGGATAACTTCAGCCCTGGAACTTGAGATCTCTACTGAGGCAAAGGTAAAAGGTTAACTTTTTTTTAACTTGAAAACTACAACTTCATGACATCACAAGGTGAAACAGAGCATTTTGAGATTTGGGAAAGAATAAAGGATTACTCAGATATGTTTTTGAGCACATAACAGCATTATAACATGGCTTAAAGCTCACAAGAGCCAATTTAGTGTAATATAAGACCTTTAAACAATACAGACTGTTAATATTTGCCATTTAGCGCAAAATAGAGTGCACATTCTTCCTCCAGATCTGAACTCTGCTCCAAACCACAGGCTTTAACTGACAGAGAATTGCTAAAAAGCCCCCAGCCAATCATTAACAATTACAAATGACTGAATCGCGCTAAAACAATCAATCGCCCAGCCCTACATGACACCAGAGTCCTATATACTGAAATACCACCCATTAAAGTGAGTAGATATATAGACTAATACAAAGTTACACAATAGCCTTATTTTCTTGCTCCTTGTCACCCACAGACACAGGCAGAGCTCTCCTTGGTGCTTTGGACACCTTCATAAATAAGATGTGATGGGCCTGAGGCGTATACGAGTCTACCAGTGCCAGAGCCCCACACAGACAGCTGGTGGAGACGCCAACAGGCAGACGTGGTTAGGGCTGGAGCTATCAGAGCAGTGCACACAACAATGTCAAGTACCTCATTTAAATGCATTTTATCAACACGGAAGCATGCTGTACATTTTTGTCCCTGTAGTGGAGCAAAAGAACAGATATGTTGTAATTTTAAGCAGCTATTGTCAAAGTGAGGCCGCTGTGTAGGCTGAAATCCAGTTAGTATGCTGTTAGCAGGCTAGCTGTTAACTTTACAGTGGCAGCAAAAACTCCACTCTGACTTCTGAATGTTGTGAATGAGCCTTTGAACTGATTGCGATGAATAATTAGGATGCTCGGAATGGATTAGGAAAGTAAGGGGCATCTTTGGACCACCACAAACTGTTCTGTTTTTCACATTTTCCAAGGCCTTATATTACACAAAATTGACTCATGTGAGCTTTAAGCCATGTTATAATGTTGTTACCTCCTCAAAAATATATCTGGAGTTGTGTTTTGTTCCATTCACATATGTTTGAGTGACCCTTTATTATTAGTCCACATCTCCAAAGCTCAAAATGCTCTGTTCAACCTTGATGCTATGAAGCAGTCATTTTCAAGTTAACAGCTCCTTTTACCTTTAGTTCAGTAGAAATTGGCAATTCCAGGATTCATCCAAATGATTCTAGTGAAGGTGTATGAACTTTAAAAACACAGTAGAGTGCTTCCTGTATTACCACATCACATCACAAGGCGGAACAGAGTGTTTTCCATTTGAGAAAAGAACTCAGTCTAAATATGCAGGGTTTGTGCCTTAAACGGGTGTAAATTAAACAATACACAACTCCAGGTATGTTTATGATGAGGAAACATTATAAAATAGATCATAAAATAGCATAATATGGGCCCTGTAAGACAGAAAAAGTTTAAATTCTACACAATGTTCTTGTTATTGAAGGGTCGGTAATCAGAAAGCTGTTATAACCTCTTTAGTTTAAGAGTCACTTGAAAAAGCATTAGTTTAAATTAAAATGTAAAGTATATTTACAAGTATCTTTTATCTGTGCCCTTGGTCTGTAATCAGTATACAATTAAAAACACAACATTTAAAAAAAATAGTCCAACACAAAAAGCAATTGACCATAACTTAAATAATGGAACAGATTTGTATAAAACGTACAGAAGAGTGTAAACACCATACAGAGTTTTCTCTACGATAAACAAGCCCCTTTTATTCAATATTGATGCATGTGTTTACAGTTTAAACATGTGGAGAGCGCAGAGACAGAATGTTGTTGGATCAGTTATAGCTTTGATGAGAGTTCCAACTGGTAAAAATATGTGCAAGTGGGGCATAATACCAGTAAATAAATGTTACATAAAGTTCTCTATAATGCTGAGGCCATAAATGCAAGACGTGCAACCTATACTATGTTGTTTATTAGTTATTATTTCCTTCTTAATGCATCCAACTAGACCCTCATTAGGTCTTTAAATAATATCACATTCAAAGTGCATTATATTTTGCACAGAGTAAATCAGTTGCACTCTAGGATTGTTTAGTGTATAAGAACCTATAATGTATAACTGTTTTTTATTGTGATATGGCAAAGATATAAATTGTGTGAATGTTAATGGGCCCATATTAGTCTATTTGTCTGTTTGTATGTGTCTTGTTTCAATCGCACATGTTCAACACACAAACCCTACATATTTATTCCGAGTTTGTGTCTCAAACAGAAAACACTCTGTTCCATTGTGTGATGTCATGTGGCAATACAGGGTATGCTCCTCTGTATTTTTATACTCCATACACCTTCAAGAGAATCATTTGGATAATTTCTGCCCTGGAATTGCCAATCTCTACTAAACTAAAGGTAAAATGTAGCTGTTAACATGAAAACTACAACTACATGACATTATAAGGTGGAATGGAGCATTTTAAGCATTGGAGATGTAAACAGACAAATAATATAGGATTACTCAAACATGTGTGAATGAAACACAACACAACTGCGCCATATGTTTTCAATAAGATAACAACATTATAACATGGCTTAATGCTCACAAGAGAGTCCATTTTGCATAATATGAGCATAAAAACTTCTTCCACAAGAACTGTTTCCCAAAATGTCAATATCATTCACCCCATAAACAAACACGTGTGATTTCAGACAACCAACTGCAGTTCATTCACAAACCCCCCCTCATCTCACAACAGCAAAATATACGTTGTCAGCCATTTGACTTAAAGCGACGATGAATAACCCTAATATGGCAATGACAGGGACAACCCATCTTTAGCAGCATCCCCTGTGTCTAGCTATGATTGATGTGCGGGTGATTCTTCCAGCTGACAGACCAAATGGGTAAAAGCTGCTTTAAGTAACACTGACAATGCAATCTTCAGGTTGTCAGAGAACTGTAGCGGCGCAGTGATACATGGGGCAAAGATATGCAGAGAAACATATGTTGAATACAAACTAAAGGGTAGATAAGGAGGAGATGATAGTGCTTTTACCTTGTAGCCGGGGCCAAGCTGGTGGATAGCAAAGATCTGAGCGGGATTTAGAGCTTCGCTGAAAACGTAGATGGCTCCGAGTTGACCACAAAATACTCTGTTAGCGTCTGCAGTCTCTGAAGAACCCAGGAAACACTTGTCGTAGCTCTGAAGGAAAGAACAGAAATGCATTTAATATCAACTCCTTATTCCTTCTTATAGTAGAATCTATACAAGCAACAATGTGGATCGTAAATAGACTAAGAATTGCTAGATTACTATTGATAAATTCATAACTAGCACTGAGTGACAACCAGTTTGTCTCATTTTCACATAATATCCATGGGACTCAGAATGATGATATCTTTTGAATGGAAGGAAGTCTACACAATGTTGAATATTAAAGTAAGCTTAAAGTCCTTAAAGTCCTTAAAGACTTAGAAACCCGAATTTAACCAGAACTAAGATAACTAACCAGAACATAAATACACCAGGTCTATATGAGTATGAAACTGTGTGAACTTAGACTCATCAGGTCATACTGTGCAGGCATGTCATGTGGTACGAGCTAATGAGCTCAGAAAAATCCACACTAACATTTGTCACTTTAGGCAAGTGTAATGAGATTGAGGATCAGACAATCAATCTAATTAGTTTGCCTGTCCTGGCCATCTGACGGCTGGCGTCCATCCACTGTCCAAAGATTTAACTAGGAACAAGTTACCAAAGTTACACTACCTGCCACACATCTTGTGTCAAATTCATTCATCTACAAGATATGTAAATGGATTATAGTTAAACTCCTAAAGTTGGTGAAGAAAAACAAGTACAATTTGCCAATGTGGGAGATTACACTGCTCGAGTCCTGACTCGACCCAGGAAGTATGAGCACATGCGTACTGTGCTCAAACACTGGCTTTTGTGACTCAGAGAATAGACTTTAAAGCGGCTCTGCTTGTGTACAAGTCTCTCCGTGGCCTAGCACCAAAGTACATCTCTGACATGTTAGTGCCATATGAACCATCTCAGACTCTGAGGAGCTCAGGGCTACTACACATTTCTGTCTCTTTTTAAGGACATTTTTACAGACAACATCTCAAACATCTCAAAATTTTGCATATCTCCATTTTTATTCTATACATCTACCCACACCACCTCTACATGTTAGTTACGTGCTTTAACATGTCTTTCCGTAATTTTCCATAATTCACACTAGACATGAAACACACCAAATATACTGACACTTTTTGTTAGATTTTAATCTTTACCACCTCCCTGTATTATTTCCTGTGTCTGCCCCATACACTCACTGATAACCTTTATCTCAGCAGGATCTGGACTTCTTTCAAAGTGATAAAACACTGCAAAGCTTCAGGAAAAACAAGCTTTGATACCATCGATCCATTTAGCATTCTCACACCAGTTCACAACTTTTGAACACATTTTTTGGACAACACTGCCAAGTATTTAACCCAAAAAGGCTATGGAAGAATGTAGAGTGAATGCAGTGAGGACTTGTGTAATTGCGGAGCTGTCAGGAGCCAAACCAGAACACAGGAGATAAGAGCCCGCCTGCTGGACTCAACCTGTCTGCTCTGAACACGAAAAGTTTAGGGCGAAAGTTGTTGTTTTTTTTTTGGTTTTTTTTCTATTGCTGAAGTGAGCTGGATTGAGGATCAAGGGCGACCACAGCAGAGGGCAAATCTCTAAACTCTGCCAATATTTCAGTGAGGGCAGAGGCTGTTCCAGACTAGTACCAGGCGCCTCACTCAGGGACAACAGCAGCAGCAGCAGCAGCAGCAGCAGCGGTGTGTCTCGGAATGTCTTTGCTTTGATGAAAGAAAAATTTAAAAGGTGAATCTGTCCTTGTTTGACTTCTGCTGAGGAACACGTCATATCATCAAAAGTTCTTTTTTGGCACTGAGGAGCTCATTCTATTTTCTGATAGGATAACTGGCTTGAGAATGAAAACACAAAAGGAAACAACTATTACCCAAAGAATAAATCAACATTAATATAAGCCTTTGATTTAAAATTTCCACATCTGGCGATACACACTGCCAGTCAAAAGTTTGAACTCACCCTCTCATTCAATGTTTTTTTTTTCTATACCTTGTTTACCACTTTCTACATTTGATATACTGTACATACAGAAGACATCAAAAATATGTATTAAATGTATGAAATTATGTAGCAAAGGAAAAAAAAAAGTGAACTAACTTTCCTCAAATCCTCAAATTCCCCATCTTTTACTTTTTTAATGTTAATGTTAATGTATTCCTCAAAACTAAGATTATAAACTATTCAGGTTTTCCTTAATGAGTCCTTCCTTAACAAGTCTTCAAAAACAAACACTACTAAAACAGATCAAATAAACAAAGCAATGTCTCCTATTCCCACAGCCACCCATTTATTTTAGCTTAATTATTGACCAATTTTAACACAGACTCACAGACAGACTTCTTTTCAAAATACTTTCATTAGTTGCTGCTCTTTGTGTGACCTCACTGCAGTTGGCACCTTGTTTCAGATAAAATAGTGTTTCTAATAAAGAGCTCTTACATCGTTGGTGTTGACGTGCCAGGCCATGTCGCCATAGGAAACCAGCTGACCGTTCACATAGCAACGGATCTCCGAGTTCCTCCAGCGATTATAGATGTGCACGATGCTGATCATGTACCACTGGAAAAAAAACAAACACAAAAAACAAAATATTATTTTAGAGGATTTGCAATTTGGAGTTTTTTTTTGTTTTTTTGTTTTTTCTAGCTTGTGCCGTCTGGAGACCAATTACAAAAAAAGTCCTTGCTTAATATTAAAAATAGAAATTTGCAAGCATCACAAAAATTTTAATAGATAAGATGAGGCTACGTCACTTTACGCACTCATCTTGTTATAATACATGAAGAATGGTGCTCTGTGGATCAAAAAATTATCAAAAGTGACTAAGGACTTTTTTAGTTACATACATTGTAACAATTAAGTATCCAATAAATATGCAGTAAAATATGAATACTATTTCATGCAACTCATTTTAAACAACTATATATTATAGATTCTGCTGATGTGGCACAATCACTTGTTATTTAATTTGATCTATAAATGTATATTTGTTTGGTGTATGTTTACATTATTGTTTTCACTTTTTATGTACTTGATATACAACTTAAGCATTGTTATTTCTCATACCCATATATTATTCAGCAGATTTTTGGCCACCAGACTCTCTTCATTTTATGACACTGGCTTTATAGAATTATTTTTACTTAGAGTTTTAGAAAAGCTATATTTGGTCGCTCTCTCTCATTGGAAAGTATCTCATCATTGTTGACAAATCCCATCGCTTAAATTAGGAAGCAGTATCTGTAAAGTGAACAAAGTGACATGTGCGTTCAAGCTATTAAAAAAAATCACATATAAACTCGGTGAGAACACTGTAGAACGTGGCACATCCGATAAACAAACTGATGAAATGGAAGCGTGGGGGACTTCGTTAGGCAGATTTCCCTGGGTCAGCGAATACAGAGGAAGGCCTTCTCATCAGCTGAATGAGGCGGCCATGACAGTGCACGAATGCTGACAATGCTTTAGAGGGCGGTGTGCAGACCTAATTGAAAACCTTATCTACACTCATCAACACTGTCGGTAAGCACAAGGGAGCACTACAAGGCAAATCCCAGCACGCTTTACCAAACAGGTGTCCTTGTAAGAACTAGGAGATTCATGTTTTATTTGCTCACCTTACGAGGTTGGAAATCGTATTTGACACAGTGTTGGAAGCCTTTTCCTTTGGACTTCAGTGACGTCACGATGAGGCAGTTCCCCACAAAATGAGCAGAGTAACCGATACCTTTACTGGTCCGAAAACTGCAAGAGAGAAACAGAAAATATTATGCAGTCAGTTGATTTAAATGGTAATATTTACACATCCTTTTGTGCGCTGGAGTCTTTATGGTTGTACTTTGTAAAACATGAATAAGAACAATCATATATGAGAAAGCAATATTTTGACCTCAACGCAAAACATCACAAAACTGCCCCGTATATGTTATTTTATTATTACATGCTTCAAATAACTACGGGAAATGATTGTATGAATAAAAGTGCCAATATTATGCACGGATAAAAGTCTTACTGAATTACTGGCTTCACCATAAAATGATATCAAAGAACTAACAGCCAATTACGAAAATGTTCATATCATAGCATATCTTAAAGGGAGTATATTACGCTATGTCCTGTTCTTTATTATAATGTTGTTTCCTTATCAAAAACATACCTAGAGTTGTGTTTTGTTTCATTCACGTTCATTCAAGTATTTATTAAATCTACATTACAGTACAGAAAAGAACCACAAAAAGACACAAAACACACACAAAAGTCAAAACCCAAAACCCGAAATGCAGTTCAAGGAGGAAGAAACTAAACTCTGTTATTCTGATGTGCTAGAGCGACAGTAAACAGAATATTTAACAGCTCGGTGGCAGCAGCATCAGGGGGTCCGGCTTTGGTAAAAACTGCTCTCATTCACCTCACTGTATTCTGACGGCACTGTCTACACCACATACAATTCGAGATTATCCCAAACATTTTCCTTGTAAAGCTGCCATCAAAATGCTCTCCCACACTCTGCGGCTGGTCCTAAATCAGATGTGAACCTCTGGAGTGAATGCTTGGGTCTGTGTGAAGAGGCTCGCAGTGTTTTATCACAGGCCACAGAGCTGCAGAGCCCGCAGTACCACGCTGAGACCAAATCTGGGGGAGGACGATAAGGACCGGACCAGAGAAGGACTGTCCCCCCCTCTCCTCCCCTCTATTCTGCCCCTTCACCCTCTACCCTACCCCCCTCCTCACCCCGGCTCCCAAAGCACATCACATGACCGGCCAAAGAGCGCATCACATGACCAGCTGGCTTATAACTGACTAACACATTGTAATATCACGTTACTGAAAATTAAGAAATTGGAATATTTTAGATCTGTCAAAATATAATATGAAGTAATGATACGCAAGCTTCTTCTGGATCTTGGTTTAGTCTTGGTTTGGTTCTGATTTTGCACAAGGTTAAAGTTCTCATTACATATTTTAGGCTTGGCAATGACTTCAGTAAATTGATAAAATAATTAAATTAGTAATTAGAGGTCTAAAAAAAGAAATATAGAATAAATCAGCATTCACTTTTGCATAGATGTATAGAGGGAACAATTCTTTGTGATGGTCAGTATTGCAAAAATCAAATCAAATCGAACAGGGGAAAAAAAAACAAAAAAACAATGAATCCATAACCATCCACTGCCTGCCTCCCTTAGCATCACATGACCGGGCAGTTACCATGGAAACGCTGTAACACACGAGCAGCTCTTATCTCTGTAATGGGATCCAGAGGCTGATGTATGTATGCCATTCCACCCCTCCTGTAGATTGATGTACTAACCATATCTACAATCTTGAGTCAACAATGCAAAAAACAAACAAAACAAAGGGATCATTTAAAAATAAAGATTGGGGATTATAGTATTAAGGGACCTGGAACTACCCTTATGGGATGAATATGTAATGTGAAGTGCCAACTGGTTTACATTAGCAATAGCAGCTGTGTACATTAAGATATGACCTGACTAAATATAAATTTAAGAGGAATACGCCAACCAGGCCAAGACTAAACCAGGACTAGACCAAATGTTTCCTCTAGGGTTACATACATTTCCTATACATCATACAGACCTGATTTTAGTTCTTAAAAGGAAGGCATGTCCTTAAGAAGTCACTGTACAGATTTCAGTCCCCACAATCTTATAAATTCCTGCCCAAACAACACATCAAAAGGAGAGCTAAACCGAGAACTAAACCAGGACTGGAACAGGATCAAACCAAAGAGAGCACCCCAATTAAAATACAACACCAATTGATAGAAAAAGCAGGCTAAAACTGGGACAAAAGCAGGGTTAAGCCAGGATTTAACAGGTAATGTTCAAACATTAGTGGTGTTATGACTCTATGGGTAAGGAATTGTGAGGGGAGAGGTGAGCGGAAAACTCTCCACAGCTCAGTAGAGCCATGTTTTAATAAAAGGTCAATTATAATGATGCTTTATGGCTAACGGCTAGCACTTACAGTGCTAACACAGTGGCCAGCAAGGTCCCGAGAAGAACAGCTACACAGGCGGGCTCATAAAGGGCAGTAGTGGCATTTAAAGCTACGCCCTGGTTCATTAGGACTTTGTTCACCAACTGACTGTTCAAAATAGGGCTGTGAATTTTCAAAATATTGCTATTGAGATTTGATGTAGGATTCTGTTCAGGGTTGATATTGTAAACAACTCTAGGATAATTTACATTTGAGCGCAGACATGGAATATGAACTGCTAAACTAAAATAAGAATCCCATGAATAAAAAATGCAGGTTATTTTGTTCTTAGCTGAGGACAATCTATTGTTTGAATAATTGGAAACTGTATGTCAGTGCAAGATTCATTTTGACTGCAATATATTGCCCCAGTATTGCCTGTCTCTAACTTGGTTTGAAAGATTTAAGATTTCTCTTATCTTAAATAACAAACATCTGGGTGCAGGTGCACTGGGAGCTCTGAATTGTTCAAATTAAAATAAACGCTGTACCACTTTTGTATTATATATTTTACTATCGCGCCAGTAACTACTGCTGTTAGTACTGCTACTCTAGCCACACCTGTGTAGTCACAGAAATTAATGACAACTAAAATGGGTCACGCAGGTGAAAACCCCGACCCCTGATATTCATTCTAAAAGCACCATAATATAAACTATCTGGTGATGTACAAAATCTTAAAAACTGTACATTGTTAAAACTATTCTTTATTTGTCAATTTGTGTTGTGTATGTTTTGACCTTTCAGTATCTGGGTCGGTGACATTTTGCAATCGTCAAATGCTCAAAAAATTTAAATATAATGGCATCCAAAATGTGTAAATTTTCTGATATATTTAAGTGTATATTTTATCATTTTGTAATCGAAGGAATGAGAACTTCACACATCAATTACTTGAGAAGGGTGCGTTGGAGGAGACGGAGCAGCCCATGAACATAGAGAAAAATCCCGCACACTGTCTTACTAGTGCCGAAACATTGCACGGTTTGTCCTAATAAATCTCACAATTTGCATAATTTTGTAATTGCCCATTGAAAAAAAAACACTAATACATTTTTTTCTGCATTTAAAGCCAGGGGCATCTTAAATATGTCATTCGGTGCAACAGCCATATTGTTAAACTTGAACTGAATTTAAAATAAACTATACAATTGAAAATGATGAAAAACACAAACTAAGATCTATAAATACACAGTAGGCCATTAAAAAGTTATTTTTTAAAGTTAAAAGTTCTTATGTAAAAAATATATTTATATGTCAAAACAAACTTTTTCTGATACATTTCACAGTAATATATCAGCGTTTCACCACATGACATCTGCCATTTTACCAGATGACAGTTCAACTGAAATACAAAATATAATAAAAAACTCAATCAAATCACATCAACATCAATGCAACTACCTTTCATATATTTATTGTCCAATTGCATTTTTAATAATTACTAATTAATTGACCAAAAAAGCACTGCATTGTAAAATAAATGCAGATTTTTTTTTGTCAAATGCTTCATGTTATCTACAACAGGCACAGGTCTGTTTCACCAAATGACACATTCTGTGTTACCAAATGACATTTTTCATACACTTTCATTCTAAACTGATAGATGGAAAGAATGTGTTTTTAAACTCCATACACCTTCAAAAGAATCTGGACCTGAAATCATCTCTAAATTAAAGGTAAAAAGGTAACTGTTAATGTGAAAACTACCACTACATGTCATCACAAGGTGGAACAGAGCATGAGCTTGGAGCTTTGAAGATGCAAACAGACTAATAATCAATGGTTACTTAAAATGCATGTATGAAACAAAACACAACTGCAGGTGGTAACAACATTGTAACATAACTTAAACCTCATAAGAGTCAGTTTTGTGTAATATAGGACCTTTAAAATATACAGGATCCCCGGTTTAATAATTGTGTCACCAGTGTTGTAACCTACACCTATGCTAATTCTTGTACTATCCTCTTATTATACTGCATTCAAAATTCTGCTCATACATTTTTCAAATAGCAGACATCTTGGTCGACACAGATGCACCTTTGGCAGCACATGCAGGTACTTACAGAAGAGCCTTGTACATTATTGACTACGTTTCACAGTGGAGAATGAGGGTGAAGCTACAGTGTGCTGGGGCCTGTCTCTCTGTGATTAAATGAGCCAAACCCAGCTTTAAACTGCATCATTTATGTTCACTTCAATGGGCTCCCTCCAACTCTGCACAGAAACACTGTACCCAACTCTACACTTTAATTCTGGAGTTTTTCAGTATCGATCAATATGGAGCCTAATGGGAAAGTTATAGTGAAGCAAAGGTACCGTACAACAACAAGTACTTTTGATTTATTGATTGATATTTGGCATAATGATGATGTAATGATGTAAGGATGTGAACTTGTTTGTAGCAGTTGTTTGAAAAATATGACAATTTTTCCCAAAATTAAATAGAAGATGGTTTACTACAAAATATATGAGCAGGAGATACAGAAAAAATCTTTTGGGATTATCGTGATTCAGACAGTATTAAGGCAGTCCATCAGAAATGTGCTAAAATGTACCTGTAGATGTCATGGTTTAAGTTCAAGTATCGCACAAAAAAGGAATAGACTGTCACATAACCACAAGTGCAGAAGTATCACTCTATACCTTTATTCACAAGTCTGTATTACTTTAAATCATCTTTTTAAATACAGACTATATACATTTGATATTCTTATTTTGCATATCTCTAAAACAAAAATTCAAATATGATCAATCATTGGATACTTTGCACCATTATATAATTACGACCTAAGGTTGACACACTTATTTGATTGTTTAAACAAGCAGAACTAGTAGAAGTACATAGTAGTAGTTCAATGTACATTTATTAAAATAATACATCCTTGACCACGTTTTGCGTTTTCATTGGCAGACTAGAATATTCAGTATAACTTAACTGTGGATTTTGTGGTATTTTATATATTAATCTGAACATATTTATCCTATATTGCACAAAATTGACTCTTGTGAGCTTTAAACCATGCTATAATGTTGTTAACTCATCAAAAACATACCCGGAGTTGTGTTTAGTTTCATTCACACATGTTTGAGTAATCCTGTGTTATTAGTTCCACATTGTGATGTCATGTAGTGGTAGTATTCAAGTTAACAGCTACCTTCTGTCATTAGTTCAGTAGAAATGGGCAATTCCAGGGCTGAAATCATCCAAATGATTCTAATGAAGGTGTATGGAGTTTGAAAACACAGTGGAGCACTTCCTGTATTACCAAATGACAACACAAGGTGGAACAGAGTGTTTTCTGTTTGAGAGAAGAAAACAACCTAAATATGCAGGATTTGTGTGTTAAATGTGTGAATGAAACAAAACACAACTCCAGGTATGTTTGTGATGACGTAACAACATTATAACAGAGACCAGAAAATAGTCTAATACAGGTCCGTTAATGGTCCTTTCATGCAATCAAGCCCAAGTTTATCACAGCCATTAGACACACAGTAAATGCATTGTCATGTTGTACTCACCAGTATAGGTAGGGTTTATCTTTGTCCACATTGATGTTGTTGAGTGGGTCTTGCCTGAACCACGTGTTGATAGTAAATCCGTTCTGGTAAGGCCATTTGGCGATTGGGGGCAACGCTATGGCCTGGAAACATAACGCACAAAAGTCACAGTAATTAACACCAAATATGTTTTAATGCAGCATCACCTTGAGCTTCAGGTGATAATAAAGTGCTGACAACATCTGTGTAAAATGGGATTAATCTGGACTAATTAAGACATTCTCAGTAAAAAATTAAACATAGTCAGAACATATTGCAATAAACTACTACAGAAGTTTATGCACAAATTCTTTTTCAATATTGGCTGCACCATTAATTCATCCATTACTAACCTGTTCTGCCATATGAAGCAAAATCGTTGTCTTAGTTAGTCAAAGCTGGATCAATAAACAACTGACCAAAATCGATTGAACAGACACTAAACTATGACGAAAGCACTGCATCACTTTCCAATTTAAGACAATTTGGGAGGAAAAGGAGAAATATGACGACAATTGCAATAGCAGTTTATGTATGGGCATTACTAATCATACTTAATTAATACCCTAACCCATTAATTAAGTCATTATTAAGCCTGAATTATTCTTAATTAGCTATTGGTTCAGTATTAATTGAGTCTTTGATCATGCTTTATTAAGGATAATAACATTGCAGTGATTATAAAGTACTGAATATAATTTTGTCTTTCCTTACAAACTAAACCGTGTTAAATGTGAGTATATTGTATTCTCACCGCTGCGCTGCGTCCTGGGAAGTTGAAGAAGGTATCAGGGCCGTGTCTCTGGGGCATCTGGTTGAGCACTGACAGCAGTTTGATGGCATGTCTCGGCTACAAACACAGAAGAAGAAAAGTCCCTGTCATCTCATGTGCTACTGTTGGCACCAATTACAAAACACACACAAGCAGAGCGCTACTCAGAATGGAATAGGCATGACACCATCTCTACCACAGCCTCACGCAATCAATAAGTCTTCAATCACCTCTATCCTCCCCCTGACATCACCCCATCAATACCATGGCAACCCCTAATCGATCTGTCTCTAGAGGGGGCCGCGGGGTGAATGGGAGGGACAGCTGGACTGGAACAGACAAGGTGGGGAGTAGGCCTAAACATGTTGTAATATACAGTGTAAAGAAACATTCTCAAGCGGGTTATGAAATTAACATTTTAAATTACCCAATTACTGACTGGTAAAGGCAACAAAATGTCTTGTATACTTCAATGATACGCTTAGGATCCAGCTTTTTCTGTTCCAGCACTGACACTCAAGATCAACTGATACCAATACAAAGTCTGAAAGCATAATTCATTTCCTTTAAATACAAACATATGGTAAAAATCAGCCAAAAGTGTCTAACGGTTAGTTATAATTTAATTAAGTCATTACAGTAATTACAAGAACAGCTTTGTACAAATACAAGCTTAATTCTTAGATATTATAGCCTAACATTAGGGCCAATAAATCGTCTTATTACACTAGTTTATAGACCAAAATGGAATATTGCCTGAACCGAAATTTGGAACCCGATATCCAATCAACCAGTTTTCTCAATATCTGCACTGATATCCGATATCAGTATTGTATTGTATATCCCTAATTACACAAAGAGAAATAATGTAATAAAGCAGACCCAGGTATGATACAGTTTAAGCCAGGAATACCAAGAAATCATCAGAAGCCATTTATATTGTATGATTTTTACAACAAAAAAGCCTGCACAACATAAAATAGTAGAAATAAGCATCACTGACCACAAATTATTAAATGTATGAATCAAGATGACTCACAACGGCTTATCTGCCACAGAGGTGACCTTAGTAAGGCTGCATTAATAATATCACTATTAGTTGATTGGAAATGATTATTAACTAACCATCAACTAAAATGTCAAATGCTTTCTCTGTATACTTGAAGAGCGTGCAGAGTTGGTATCATGGGGCAATATCACTGTAAGCAGTAGAGATCGCTATGGAGATGGATAGGCTCTGGTTGAGTATGGACCAGTGATCTGCAGTAGTAGATGTGAGCTGTTTCAGAGCAGATGGGAGATTGAGAGAAGGAAAAAGGACACATTGACCTCTCAGTGACTGCCAATACTTCACATACTCTCCTCTCTCTATCCTCCCTCTCTCCCTCTCTCATCTCTCTCTTTTCAACCTACACACGCCAAAACATAAATCTCTCCCCTCGTAAAACGCATCCATAATTTCCACAGTTGCGTTTTAATACATCCCCTTTAAATAAAAATGAACCCTGGTGTACATGAGCTGGACCAATCAGAAAACTACGCCGGGCAGTTAGGCAAATGACAACAAGCACCACTGTAATTGGATGGGCGACTAATTACCAACTTGTTGCCTGTTAACTGGTAAATTAACCTCATTAACAAGAACATAATGGATTAAAAGACAGTGTGGTACAGAAGGATGCATTTATCAAGAAATCTGTACTGTCTCTTTGTTAAGGAGGTAGACACCGTTTACACTTTCAACACCAATTTGTACCAATTGGCGTATAATTCTAGCAGTGAAACCGTTGCAATGCAGTACTGGTGCGACATGTAATGCTACTTAATTAGCCATTCGCTGAGGTGTACTTTATTCTCAAGAAACCATAGGGATGCTTGTTAGCTTGGTAGCCTGGCATCCCAGATACATTTAATGGCCATCTTGTGTGTGATCAATGAGCCATTTGTTGTTCTATTTAGAGGTAAAATAAACAGGAACAAAAAGCCACGCTAGAGTTATAAGTATAGGCCACTGGAAAACTGTTGCCGTGGCAGCAGCTGATGTCGATCCATAAAAACAAATAAAGAGTCACAGGCCTGCATGCTTTCAATTTCTCATGTCTGGATATGATATCAGTGGTGGAAAATAAAAACTGAACTACTGATAAGATTGAGAGAAATGTTTTGAGGATGTGTAACATTCGAAAAAAAAATCTAAAAATCAATACCACAGAAATAATTTAAATGAATGAAATGCTATGCTTATGTTGCATAAACAGAGATTTTGTTTTGTTCATATCACCCACCCACTCCTGGTTTTAAGTATTACAATTGCTGTTGTTATCAAATCCCTAACAAACTAATCAATCAAACAAAGACATTTATAATAAAATTCTTATCTGATTATTTTCTAATGTAAAACTGACATGTCTTTGCTTTAAAAACAGATTTAGAAAGCGTTTAACAGTTTAGTTAAAGATGCACTGTGTAACTTTTCTGGTATCAATCTTCCATTTACTCAGCAACATGGGTTTTTATTGGTCACAGATCTGACATCTAACTTGGCCCTATTGCGTTATCTGTTGTCTCCATAGCGATAAAGTCAAACTGCGGAACAATCCAGGCAACATCGCCCTGGAGAGATGCTGATGACAGACTCTGCACCAGACAAGTCGCACAGTGCATCTTTAAAGGGCCAGTACCTGATTTTAATGTATTCATGTCAAGATATGATCTGAGCTTAATGTCTGTGTAATATAGTTTATAAATTGTATAGACTGACTAATACTGAAATTCCCCAAAACTGTCTGACATTATCACAAGACACAATTCTCAGTCATGGTGCAGTATCAGAGTGGCAGAAAGGACTAAGTGGCCGAGGCTAAAAGTTTAAACTGAAACATGTTGCTCAACTCGTTGATTAAAATCAGGTACATGCCCTTTACAGCTGCTGATACAGTTAAACATATTAATATTTGTATTTTCAAATGATCAAACAGCCTCCACAGCTTGCTCTGAAGTGAGACCTTGTTGATCAGACTAGAGTCCACAGAGTGCAACGGGCCCATAGCCATTACCAACAACCTTGTTCAAGCAAATACCTATTAAGCCCTGCCAGACCACAGTAATCTGAGGGAACGCTTGGCTCTCAGTTGCACACTCCATGCGGCGGAGGAGGAGGAAATGCACAGTCGAGAAAATAGGGCCTTTTAGTGAGTTTTTGTGATTGGACGACAAATTGAAAAGTGCAGTGCCCATTGTAACGACTCCTGTGTGTGCTATACGATACTTGTGTGTGAACAATATGGCTGTGACTGTGCTATGAGCTTACACTGTGTACAATACATCTTCTGTGGGGAGATTAGTCTAATATTACCAAATAAATACCACAAACTGCATGAGAAACCAGGAGTGTTTCAGCAAATGAAAATTTATCTGCAACCTGGTGGTAATTTTAGAGCTATATTAGAACACATTTTAAAGAACAGGTGTATAGCCAGTCTATTTAATGGGTCAATATAAAGCCAAAAATAAAGATGATGATTATTTTAGCATCTACATTCAACATCCTAAGATGTTATATGTTTTATACTTTTCAATATTGGAATCTGCAAAAGTAACATTGTACATTGTAGGGCTGTCGCTGGCAGGAATTCAAAAGACATCCCTGTGCATTCATTGGTTTATTAAGAAGGGGTGTGGCATTAGTGAAAGCTCAACTCTCAATGATCCGACCATATGTAACCTGAAGTGCACTGACAAGACAAAAAAAAAGTACTAGTAAATGGTGTATTTGTGTGTAAAAGAAAAAAAATTTAGTTCATTCCCAAATCTTCCTCCATGTTATTCATTCAAAATCTTTTACAATCCAACTAAAATAATTAGTGGACTAATATAAATTCTGGTTACCTAACATGCCACCAACCAATCAACTGACTAAATCACTAAAGCTTTACTGCCATAAATAGCCAATCAACAACAATGTACTTGTAAAATTTCCATTATAAGATTTTAATCTTAGTTTTTATATACAAAACTGCAATACAAAACAGAGATTACTTTTCCACTTTCAGTTTTGTATTGTTAGGAGTTAGGAGAGTTAGAAGAGCTAGTAGCCCAAAGTGCAGCTGTAGCATCTTTTTAAAGTCAATTTGAATGGGTCTGGAGTAGGACGTGGTGTGTACCTAAATCCTAAATACTCCAACACATTTAAAGCCTTCTCATCTTGGTTTGTCAATACAAGCAAACAAATAACATTTGGAGCCTGTGTCACACTAATGATGACAGTTGCAGCCGACAAAGCACTAAGTTAAATTGCCCTTGTTTCGACATGAGCCCTCAAATCAATCCCAGCACTTATATTATGCAGCTACTATTATAGAGCTCCATCCATTGCACTAATAAATGACAGCCAAGCTAATGACACCGACAAACCAACTTCTGCTGTACAGTTAGCCCAGTGTTATGTATACTGTAGTTACTTAATTACACCACCTCACCAATTATAACCAATCATATCTGACATGCCCATAATCTAAGATAATTAATCACTAACAAAGCATTGCACTTAACATAAGAAATATTGTCTATGAGTTGAAAGCTCTGACACTAACACTAATAGGTGAAGCTTAATTGAGTAAGAACTTTAATGTGTATAGGTCGAGGTGGAATATACTAGGGCTATGCTTGTCAGCGTCTAAACGGCATATATTTTACACCAGATGGAAAGTGTTTAAAGGTCCTATAGTACAGAAAATTCACTCTTCTGAGTTTTAAGCCATAGTACAATGCTGGTACCTTATCAAAAACATACATGGAGTTGTGTTTTGTTTCATTCAAGCATGTTTGAGTCGTTGTCTGCCTACATCTACAAGCTCAAAGTGCTCTGTTTCATTCGATAGTTTTCAAGTTTTCAGCTACCTTTTACCTTTTGTTCAGTAGAGATCAGCAATTCCAAGGCAGAAATTATCCAAATGATTCTAGTGAAGGTGTATGGAGCTTAAAAACACAGTACAGCACCTTCCTGTATTAACACATGGCATCACATGTTTGAGAGAAGAACTCAGCCTAAATATGCAGGATTTGTGTGTTAAACATGTGCCAATGAAACAAAACACAACTCCGGGTATGTTTTTGATGAGAAAACAACATTATAACATAGATCAGGAAAGTGTAAAATTTTCTTTTTACACATAAATACACAGTTTATAACTACTACTACTTCTCTGTTTGCATATTCATCACATGCAATCCTGTGTACTTGGTCTTGTGAATGCAGTTCAGGTCAGATACGTGGTCAGATTACTGAGATACTTGAGGACTTTTGGTAGGCCCATGAATGCTTCTTTTCAGTCACTCCTCAGGGCTTGTCTTTGGTCAAGCAAGACCTTTTTGGTTTGGGTTAAACTTAAGGCGATACACATTTTATTTGAGCCTTTTGAGGGCCCCTTCCGGCACTGTTAAATACTTCATACATCAACTTTTCGTCTCAAATATTTTATCATCATGTGAAAAGTCTTACCCAGATGCCGTTGTCTCCTCGTAGCATACTGAAGAGCAGCTTCAGCTCCTTCACTGTGATGCTGTAACTGGCCATGACTCCCAGCATGTCCACCAGCAAGTCTGAAAGGGACAAAAACATATCTAAAACATGGGCTGCAGTCTCAGTAGTAAGTAAATGTTGTGTAATTTAAAAGATGGGTTAATGGTTCCTTTATGTAAAGTGCCTTTAAGGTGAAAATGCACTGTATAAATAAATGGCCTTTTATTTGGGTATGGGCACTATGCCAAAAAATTATACTAGTTTTCTAAAGGCTTTACAATTTTACTTGTATAATGATTTATGTACACAAAGCAAGTTTCTAATAGGGATGCGTACACAAGATCTCATGCCACAAGATCTCGTGAAACAAAAACTGCCTCAAGACAGTGCACATATGATTTTTTATCTGTGTTAACCCTTTTTTGTCCAATCTAAATGTAATCTAAAGTGCTAGTTATACCTCCTTGAGAAGCTGTAGTCCCAAAACAAAACAACAGTGAAAACAAAAATACTGAATAAAATGCAAAAAAAAAAAAAAAAAAAAAAAAAGAACTAGTCTTGTCTCGTGGGGATTGTTGGCTTTAGATTTCGCTTGAAGACACTTCTTCTGAGAATTTAGTACAGAGCAGCATTTTTTAAATTCCATTATCAGGCAGTCTATTTGGCGTGGTCCCACAAAGAAGTACGCAACAGAGAAATATCATAGTAGAGGCTGAGATTAAACATGTATGAACACACAGAAAAATGCTGTTTGTAGGTACAATATCTGAGCATGTCCAGCAGGTCCGAGGAAGCACACATAATCCAATATGGGCAGGGACAGTCGGGACATCTTCACATGAGTCAGCGTTTGGCCACATCGCAGATTAAATATGGCGGAGTCATCAAAACTGGGCCGATTTTGACTTATAAAGTGTAGTGCCATCCATTATTTATTCTGTAAAAATTACAGAGTCCTTTGGTTATGAAGGAAAAGCTGTTTGATCTGAGTAAGCAAAATGAGCCTTGAATCTTGACACATGCACATTGATATTAGTTACTGCACTATTTTTGAAATAAAAGAACATACAGATGCAGCTTTGCCACCAGTGCATAACAATGAATGGTCTCTTATGTAAATGTGGGAATGAAATGTGTCATTCAAAGTGAAAAAAACAGAGGCGGGAACTAATTACCAAGTGAATAGTTTGCAGCCTTGAGATTTCAAAAGTAACAAAAGACTGACAAAACATTATTTAACTGTGGCCACCAATTATTAACATGAGTGCAAAAGGCTAATTTTTTGTCATTTTTAAAGAAAGCCAATGGAAGTTCTTTCTCTTGGATTCGAGCTAACATTTCTAAATGATTTCTATAGCAGCTTATCATCTTCTGTCTATAAATGCACTTAAACAATTCATGCTGTTTTGATAATTATAGCAATTTTTTATTGCTAATGCTAAATTACAAGACAGCACTGACTGTCTCTTAGCCCCTTGTTCACACATATTTGGTTATTTGACCTGCTTGTTGACTGGACGAGAGTGGTTTTCTGAAGAAGTGGAACAGAAACCTGATCAGGACTAGGGATGCACCAATCTTATTCAGTTCCAATACCGATATCAGTACTTTGACTTCTCTCTGCTGATACTCGATATTAGGGATACCAGAGTATGGACAAAATGTTTTACTTATTTACATAAAAGACAGTTAGCTTATTACACAAGAGATCAAACTTATTTATCATTCAAATAACTACTGAACAGCTTTGTATGAATAAAAGTTCAAACATTCTAGACCAGGTGTCACCAGCACAGTGCCCGTGGGCACCAGGTCGCCCCCGAGGACTACATGAGTCGCCCGCAGGCCGGTTCTAAAAATAGCACAACTCATTAGTGAGCTGCATTTAACATTTAATTTCATTCCGTTGCTATTCTTTTTTAATCACCCTTGCATTTATATAGATTTAAAAATGACAATATCTTAAAAATTTGTTCATTATACATGAAGTTCAGATAAGCAATTTAGAGGAGCAACCTGTTGTTTTTAGTGCTTACATTTTATGCAAATGAGCCATGTGGTTTTAAGTTTCGTTTCTGTAAAACATAAATAAATGTGCGCAAAGTTGAATTAAACACATGATGCTGTGGCTCTATAGTGCTTATGGTTCATATGTTGTAAAGTTGACTTTATTTATGCAGAAAATTTTAATTAAGAATCTGCTGCAGTGTAGAACCTGTACAATAGTGTTTGGGAACATTGGGTTTGATCTGCACAGTGGATTGTAGGATACCTCATAGCTCCTTACAGCTGGTTAGAACTTCCCACGCTTCCTATGCTAAAGGAGCTCATGGTTGTTTGTAATATTCCTGGTTTATTAAATATATAATTTTTGCACTTGCACAGTTGTAAGATTATGTCAAGAAACCAGGATACTGCATTTAAAACCTGGGATGTGCAAGTAAACGCACTCATAGAAGCAATAATGATTATAGCTAACACTGTACTTAAAAATTTAACAATTACTGAGATTAATAAAGTGCTGAATATTGATATCCGTTTCCCTCCTTGCTGTCATTGTTGATAATTATTATGAGAAATCATTAACGTGATCAGTGTCTTCACATTGATGATTGTCATTAATCATTATTAATAATGTATAGCTAAAGGAAAACTGAGGAAATGTGTTATTTCAGAAGAGCGTATCAAACTGGTAGCCCTTCGTGTGACTGAGCACCCATGAAGTAGCTCTCAGTTTCAAAAAGGTTGGTGACCCCTGTTCTAGACCAATTAATGGCCAATTATTACATCCAGTTAAATACCCAACCAGTGTATCAGCTCAACCACTATCATGGAATCAATACATGACCTGGCTAATTTTTCAGAATCGGCACCAATATTCAATACCAGTATCAGTATTATCCCTAATCAGGACAGTACTCGTAAACTAGTGAGTATGTCAAAATCTCTGCAGCACTTTTACTGTTAGCTAATGCGCTTAACCACCACTTTCCCATTAGGGCCTGTGTAGATATGAAGAGTCTTCTGATAGCATTTCATTACAGAGTCAGAGATAGGAGTCCTAGTTTTGAATCCCTTGTTCTTATCCATGTAGGTCGATGTCTTATAGCTTTAGTGGGGATTGAGTTCTGGTTAAGGAGGGACTATTTGAATATTAGCATTAAATTGATTTAAGCGCCGTATGCTCCGCCATATTGAGCAGTAATAAGTCATACAAGTTATAAAGCAGAGCGTCCCGGGGCGGTAGCTAGGACACAGAGGACGCGGGGGGAGGAGTGAGGGAGAGGACACACTCAGAGACGGCGTATTAAAGAGGAGTCAAGGTCAATATCATGCAGTGGAGGAATGGGATGCGGACGGGTATGGGATGTTTGGTAATCAGGCCCCCCATACAAACGGCAGAGCACAGAGGGGGACTGGGGCGGTCACTGCAGAGGCGTGTGCTGCACCAGTGGGCTCAGAGAGGAACTGCTGCAATGCTAAAATGGAGATAAGGCTTGTGTAATAATGGTGAGGATAATGGGAAGCTTTTGTTGTATTGAATTTACATAAGGACGCGGAGTAAGCAATGTACAGCAGTGCCTTATGGATTTATAAGCTCAACATAATGCCAGGAAATGTGTTTACTATTTATAGAAAAATTGGCATAAACCGTATAGACAAATAATAATCACAGTCAGATTAAAGATTTAAGTCAATAGTATGTCTTGTATGTCTTGTATGTCAGGACCACAACTGTAAAGACTATGTTGCTGTATATCAGTAAACCTTCTCCCACAAATAAAATATTAATACTCAAAGTTTTAAGTAAATTGGGGCCTTTAAAAACTCCATCCATCTACAGGATTAGTGGAGAGTTAGGGTAACTTTATGAGAGCAAGAGAAAGATAAGGAAAGACAACAAGGGGATCATTTTTAACTTAAATTTGGCTTAAGAATATAATGTAAAATGCAATAGTGAGGTTTTTGGTCTTTGTTTTGGATACCTTATAATTATTTGTTATCTTTTACAGCTTTAAATATTGTATATGCATGGAAAATAATTAATAGTAATACATAGCAAGTAAACATGACATTTCTATGCTCAGAAATATGGCTAGATACAACTGTTGAGCTCAATTTAATAATGTTGTCTCTAATTGAGCACTGAAATTATTACAATTGTTAAGTAGAGAAGTCCTGAATTGCCATCCAATGACATCATCAAGTGTTTTGATAATGAAACAACTTTCTAGTCAGTTTGGCATATAATAGTCAATTTAAAGACATTTTATTTCTATAGTAGGCGTGTGGAGAGGGGAAGTCTGGGTATCCCTGCTCAGACTGTGCCTTTACGACCTGGTCTGAGATAAGCGCAACAAGATGGATGTTGTTTTATTTACTTGGAAACATGACCTGTAGCTTCCCAGTCGCCTGCTTGTGCGACTTTAACCTCCTCTAACCTCGTTATCCTCAAATCTCCCTCACAAATAAAAAAAAACCCTAAATCTATGGTTACCACCTCCTCTGTCGAGCCTTGAGCGAGATTCAAACAGTACCATGCAATCATTGTGCTTTGCTCATTGATTCTGCAGTAATACGCAATGTTTTTCAGTCCCCTGTTCATAATATTATGAATAAGGTCCATATTTTTAAAAAAGCTGTTATAGAACTGTACTTTGCTATGAGTGAAAACAACAATCATCTAGAAGAAAACATCAAGGATAAGTAGCTTTTTTCAGTACATTTTGATGATAAAATCGCTATTTTGTTGGCGATTATCACTATAACAGTATAGAAAATATCCCACGAACCATTATTTTCAACCTTTTTTGTCACGATAAACTATATTATTGCTTATTGTCCTATCCCTATCCATTGTACTTTGCGGGCCCTCACCTGCAATCATGTCATCCACACTGCTCATCTTCAGCAGCACCTGCTGGATGAGCCCAACCTCCGTGCTGGTCTGCAGGTTGCGTACACTCTTGCGAAGAATGGCGGTGAACATACTCCAGATTTCGGCCTGGCACGTGACCTCACAGTGGGAAAGAAGCTCCACCATGCACCCAATGCTCTCCGCCTCCTGGATGATAAAGTTCATCTCCAGGTCAAACTCGCCCCCCACCAGCTGAAAGAGAAAAAGGAGCGAAATGATATTAGAGACGAAGAAGGTGGAGTGGGTAATGAGGTGAGTGGGAGGGGAGCAAACAAAAAGAGGAAAGTGATTTAGAGCTAACATTCTCAAAGTTTTCACGCCAAGTAAAACATCACATAATATTTGGAATTCAAAGTACCAGTATTAATGAAACTAAATTAGACCAATTCTTCATTCTGCATCTCATCGCAAGTGTTAAATTCTAAAAAACTAAACTAAACCAGGATCAAGCGGGATCAAAAACATATTAAACCAGGCCACTCCACTTGAGAAAACAGAGGTTTAAATGAGGGAAAACAAAGGTCAGGCAAAAGTGAGGGTGTGTCACATATTAAATAAGATTAAACAACCACTAAACCAGGCTGGGAAAGGCTGAAGATCTATTCACGGACATGATTACATGAAAATAAGATTAAGCAAATTCTAAGTAGCATTAAATCAAAATCTAACCCACATTGATCAAGAAAACACTTTTTATCCCTTACAAGATATTGTAAACAGAAGAAAAATGACCTGAATGGTATTGCCTATACATTAAAAAAGCATTTATTGGGTGCAGACCATAAGGAACCAGCTGCCAGGGACAGACAATTGTATCAAATGGATGACAACCATGTGGAAACAACTGCCCATGAATGCCCATTTATTTCCGTCACAGTTCAGCAGAGTGACTGACTGAGTGGGGAGGGATAACAGTTTATTCTGCAACATGTTTTTCACTTATGGTAAAGCTTTTGTCCTTATGTTGATGTATTTTTATGCTTTAGGCCTCCAGCACCAAAGAACTATCCTTCCTGTGAGCCTCAGCCTCTCCTCCTTTCCTCCTCCGCCTCCTCTTTGTGAACTACAATCACACCAAAAATGGCATGAAATGGTTGCCCTGTCGCCTCAGAAGCACACACCAGTCACTGCAAAGACTGATGAAAAACAGGTTTTAGCCTTGCTTCCCTCAGGTTAGCATGTATTCTTTGATCTGATTACAGACCCATGTGTTGTAACAAATCTGAAATCCACTGTATTCACCAGTAGTGCTGCAACTAATTCTTGTGCTATTTTGCAACTCATCCAACTATTGATCAATATATGTATCAATATACTTTTACTGCTGCCATAGGACTATTGCAACTACTACCTACTACTACTGCAACAAGTATTACTATTGTTTTATCCTTGCTATTTTGATGCAACTGCATAGAGCAGGGGTGTCAAACTCATTTTGGTCCTGGGGCCTTATCCAACCTACTTTGATCCCAAAGGGGCTGGATCAGAAAACTCATGGCATATATACTCCAAAAACAGCAATAAGTTCAAATATTTGTGCAGAGAAACGCAAATCTATTACAGAAATCTTTTTTAATTGATGAAGTCTTTCTTTTACAAAATATTATAATATTATGAACAACCTGAAACTTTAAGAAAAATGTAATTTCAACACAATGTTTTAACATGAACTTGTATGCAAAAAGGAATAAGTCAATTTTTCTTGGAAAATCCTGCACTCAGCGTCCACTTTTCTCATTTTTGACATTTTGCTGATGAGTGTGTCATGGTCAACAGTCAAAACGATCATCCTTTAAGAGCGCTTGGACAGAGACAAGTTTTCATTTGTGCTGCTCTGTTGGGAGGGGCCACGTACAGAGACGCTGGAGACGCTGCTATGCTCAACGGCACAGAAAATTACCAATATTTTAACAGAAAATATAATTAAAATATTTTAGTAGAAAATCAGCTGAGGGCCAGATTAAAGGTCTTGGAGGGCCGGATCTGGCCCCCGGGCCTTATGTTTGACACCTGTGGCATAGAGGTAGCATAGAGAACAATCTAATCCAGGGGTCTCCAACCTGTAGCTCAGGAGCTACCAGTAACTCGCCACCTCCTTCCAAGTAGCTTGCCAATAAATGGACAATGATTTATGTTTTATAGGCATCTACTGTAACTGTACCTCATCTAAGGCTTTCCGTGGCTCTTATACTGTATATATTCAATTTCTTGTGATCACTAAAACTAGTAGCTCTCCAGCATTTTCGCTTTGCAAAAGGCAGCTCACTTAAGGAAAGAGGTTAGAGACTGCTAATCCAACTGACTTGTGAGGCCAGCAGAGCTGTTTAATATGAATAATATAAATGTAGAATTTGTCAAGTTGTATAATTCTTATTGTTGTGTTTTTATGGTGACCATGTTTACCATCTGTCCAGTAACTACAGATGAAAAATAGTCTCTCTGGCTAATTCTGGTACATTTACAGAAATGTTGATTAAGGTACACCGTCCCTGCTACATAAACCAAATAAATACAATTCATATGGTATGAAATTATGTGTGTGTGGACATAACTACCATGCTAGCCTGTCCAGGACCTTCCACCCCTGGAGTAGAGCACTCTGGTCAGGGCGCTCTGTGAAAAGTTGAAGCAAGTAAGGGCCAAACTTGCAGATCAGGTCCAAATAAGCATTTCTTTGCACCACAAGCTTAGGTCTCAGGAGAGAAGTAAGCAAGAAAAAGACTTGGAGTTCAAAAACTTGAGTTTGCACACTCCAAAAAAGTCAGGAATAAGACTGACGATTTGGAGATGCAAGAACTCAGAGCTTCTCTCTAATAGAAAGGCAAAGAGCTAGAAACCCAAATGAATGCATACAAGGAGATCCAGTATCTGTATACCAGTTCAGTGAGAGAAAGCTTCTAGCTCAAACAAGAGCTATCCAGTACTAGTAAAGTCCTTGAAAAGATGAAGACACAACTTAGAGCACAGGACAATATGATCGCTGAGATGAGAAACACAAACAGGTCAGATCCAGACGCCTGCAGAGACTCTCAAACTACTGGTTTTGGAGTTGGTGTCGATACAACCCACAAAGACAGATGTGTCCCTAGATGTGATGTGCCAAATGTGAGCTCATTTGGACCAAAAACCAGGGACTAATAGCATTTTACAAACACACAGTCAAACGGTGGCGAATTTTTTGTCCAATATGGCCAACTTTGTGTTCATCATAGGGGTATGCGCCAATTTAACTTTTGGCTTGTCTTATTGTTCGCTATCACTGTTCCAAATTTGCTTGTGCCCACTCCCATAAGGGTCCACTTCTAGGTGGCGCTGTTGAGTTACTTCAAGCATTGTCTGGTATGGGGACTTTCACTGATGTTTAGGCCCTCAAAATCGCGATCACTTGCAAGAAAAAATAATAACAGAGAAGTAGAAATGGGCGAAAAACAATAGTCCTTGCCAGTTACTCTGTTACTGGCTCGTGCCAAATATTGCCAAACATTTGGTTTCTTACATAGCATTTCACGGAATTTGAAATGCATTGTTCACACAGGTTTTGTTTGTTCTTGCACTTGGTGAACCTGAGCATACCCACACAATCCAGGAAGTGTAACTATGACAACCATCATGAAGCCAGGAGATTGACAGTGAGTTTTATTAAATCAGACCAAACAGAAACGCACTGCAGCCCTCACATCTTTCCTGGTGTAAAGAGTGTAAATAAACGGAGATAAGAAACGTGACTAGCAGGCTATGACCAGGCCAGTGTGGAAAATCAAAACAGTCTATAAATATAGCAGAGTTAAAGTGGTAGATGGCAGCCTGTGGAGCCTCATGTCAAGTGCTGTGGCTCTGGTCAGCCATCATTTAGCACTGGACTAGTAAGAGGCAGTAAGAAAACACCAGGGAATACATACAATATAATATTATCTTTAGTAATCTATATTGAAATATTCCAAACTATGAAACTTGTCAAAAATATTAACACTATATTTAGAACATGATTAGGAAAACAGTGAGCACCGACTCAACTCAATGAATCTGAAAATGTGACAGAGATCAATTCCATATTAACTTTTTGTAGAAGCAATGGCTCAAATGAATATGAAAGAAATAAACCATGATGCTCTTATTTTACCTTGAAAAAGGTTGCTGTCCAGAATTGTAATAACTATTCATTTATTTGGGAGTGTGGCTTACATTAGCATTACTCCATGTGTGATATCTGGCCAGAATCACACACTTTCACAAAACTTTACAAAGAAAAGTGGATCTGGAGCTGTATTCTGTCTCCCTGATTTCACAAGGCATGATTGACAGGCAGATTAACCAATCCATATATGCATGGTGTGTTTGCTTACAAAAGGAGAAAAACAACACAAAGGAGAAACAGCATGGATTTTCTCAGAATCAACAACTGAAGCACCAAACTTATGTCATGTAAAAGAAGTTATATAGTTTGCTCTGAATGATGTAAGAATTTTCAAGAGAGACGGTGTTACAAATTAGCAGCTGTGATTTGAACATTTGGACAGGTTTTTTTTGCACTCTATTGTCCTATTTAAGTCCCTTCTGGATTCAAACATAATGTAGAAGTTGCTGACTGGTCAGACAACATTTGTGACCTCTTGTAGAGCTTAAGAATGATTGTCAAAAACGTTGTGACGTGACAAATGTCCATAGAAATGTTGGCAAAAACAATATAAAAGTATCATTAAAAGAGCCATGGAACAACCCAATGGTGGCTGCTGGATTACTAGTGGTACATTTATTTTTTAAATCAGTGCAAAATTTTAGCATCAAATCTCCGCTTGTTTAACATTAGGCTAATTGAAAATTCTATGAGGTGTCGATGACAAAATCCAGTACTCTATAACTATCAAAGTCTGCCCAGTTCATAATAATGATCCACTCTCCAATGTCCTTATTAGCAACAGATTAGCACATGTTGCTCGGCTGGTCCACTGAGATCTGTAGCATGATCTCTCTGTCATTATAATGTATAGACTGTTGCTCTCGATAGCATCCTATTATTAGCTGTGCCATTAAAACCTGTCCGATCTTGTTCTGCTATATATTTCATTAGTGGCTCTTCCTGCTCTCTGGTTCGGCCCCGTCTCTCCGCCTGTGGACACATTGATCCAGTGACAGTGTGGATGCATTAGAGCAGATTAGACAGTACAGCACAAAAAGAGGGACAATTCATTTAT